ATGCCGACTCCATGACACTAGTGCAAAACGTGTCGACCTTCTCCTTCCTTAATATTTCAGCACCTTTTACAGCCGCCGGTCCCAGGAGCCTGTCGGATTCACAGCCGGGTGACAGGACTGACCTTGGCTCCGCTCGATACGGATTTCGGCCCTGAATCCAAATTCTGCCTCCATCACTTCTGACCATAACGTCTCGTCGGACACCTGATCACCCGGTTACGGAAAGGAGACTTCTTACAACCAGATATTCCCACAGCGAAACTAAACTACCCCCCACCGCCCAGCTTTGATGACCGCTGCTCTAGGGACAAACCCCACTGAGGGATACGGCACGGCCCGAGCGGAACCCGGCACAGACCCGTCTGCATCTTATTCCCCGACGTGCAATCTGTCCTTGAAGGCACTTCACGGGCTGCAGCACTCCGGTTACAAAAAGATGCCGTAACCGGCCGAACCCCGGACCGGTACCGGTCGGCGCCCACCTGTACGTCTGCGAGGCCAGCCGCAGCGCAGTTCTGAGGCAGTGCCTGCTTCGGTACATCTCGGCTCTCACTCGGGTAAAGAGATGTGCGTCTCAGATCCTTCTGTTTAAGATTGCAGCCGCGTCCAGCTCTACCGCTACTTCCAGCCCCGTCTCAAAAGCACATGGCGTCCTCCACTCTCCCTGACCTACCCACAATGCACCGCCCGTCTTCAAACTTTATTAACAAACACCACCGTGCACACAGACGGGGTGGACGGAAGGGGATTGGAATATTGCTACGTGCAAGTTAATCCCTGTGTTACCTTTCCACACACTCGATTACTCGATTAACGCAGTTCACGAGTTCCAGACAAGGCTGCTGTATTCTTCAGTAATGTGAAAATGTGTATGACAGTATAAGGGCTCAAAGTCACCAGCCCCTTCGTTGATCTTCACCAAGTGCTGTGCCCTCTGCATTGGTGCTTAAATAATGCAACACAGTGCAACAGTTGTGAGTCAGGGGTGCACAACCCCTGCAGGTCTCATAGTTCTCCTTACATTTCCAGCTCCTAAAGAACTGGGAGGTGCCTCATCTGCCCAGTTAAGCTGATGAGCGGATCAGTTGAGTAGTTAAGAGCTCAGGTGGAACAAAGGCACTGCAGACACTAAGGCCCTGCGAGACTGGAGCTGAGCCCCCTGCCTTCTGAAGTCAAGTTCTGCAGTATCACCCTGCTCAGTCCAATATTAATGCTTTGCTGGTGGTCACTAATACCGCAGTGAGAAACCCGACGCGTTGACGCTGAGCCCAGGGTTCCTCGCACGTGCAGCCACGTCACGTTGAGCCCTGAGCTCGTGCCAGCTGTGTGCCAGGCCCGTGACAGGGCGGGGGGCAGGGCAGCAGGAATCCTCTTAGTGCAGTACTTCCCCAGAAGCCACACTCGGCTCCCCGGAGAAGCTCGCTGCCTCCCTGCTGCCGTGGACCATGCTGCTGTCTCCCGCGGCCGAGCGGAACAAGGACAGGCTGCTGGCCGGCCTGCGCGCGCTGCTGGGGGAACGCTGCCACCACCCGCTGTTCGCCCTGGAGCTGGGCTCGGGCACCGGCCAGCACGTCGTGCACTTCGCCCAGGACCTGCCCCTCGTCACCTGGCAGCCATCGGACATCAGTGCGGAGTCCCGGCAGAGGTAACGTGCTGTTTCCACAGCACCAGTCCTCACTTCCGATCGGTGTCGATTTGAGCTTTGGGAATAAGATAACAGCAGCACTGATAGTAGTATCGCTAGCCGTGCGTGCTCTTTGTTTTGAACTGTTTATGCAGTATTTCTAGAGCATTTCCGCACGAGATAGCAGAGCAGAATAGAACATGCATTAGGCCTTGCAGTGTGTATGGACTCCTGCAGTGTCAGTGTGGTATTATTCCTGCAGCATCAGAGCCTACATCTCAGCCACCCAGGTGAAGAACGTGCTGCAGCCTGTGCACCTGGATGCTGGGGAGCCCTGGGAGAGGTGGGCTGGGCTGCCCAGGGGGGCCTGTGATATCATCCTGAGCATCAACATGCTGCACTTCTGTGCCTTCAGCACTATTGAGGTACAACACCCCCCTCCACACAGAGCTGTGGTCGTTGCTGCACTGAGCTACCTGTCTAGTGAGTCCAAGTTTTAAACCCACTGTGAATAGACTGTTCATAAGAAAGCTAGAGTAACAGCTCAGCAACACTGAGAGGTAATGCAGAGCTGAGTAGAAGCCTGCAGACATGTAGGTGAACTCCACCCCAGAGCTGCAGCAGAGGGGAGGCGTCTCGGGTTCTGACTGTGTGTCTCTGTGTCTCTGTGTCTCTGTGCACAGGGAGTGTTTAAAGGGTCGGGACACTTGCTGAAAGCCAGGGGACTGCTGATGACCTTCGGGGTATGTGTGCGCCAGGGGTGGGAGCTGACTGCTAACTGTTAGACACTTTCATGTAAGGAGCTGCGCCAGCATGCGTAGGCTGCAAAGGAACAAGTAAAGGATTATTTTATACTGAAAAGAGAGGAAAAGAAACACAACGATTCGGCCTGACACCTGAAGTAGACTCCACAGCCAAATAAACCTTTACTTGTCCATTATTAGACATTTTGTACAATTGGGTCTCCACGAAGGATGTCTGTCTTCTTGTAGCTAAGTAGATTATTTTAGAGAAAACATTTTATGAGGTTTAAGACTCCAACAAGTTTTTAATTTATGGGTTTAATTAGCCTGTTTCTTCTGTAGCCTTCTTCTTTTCTTCTGTATTATAAAACACCTTTTATTTATTTCGAATTCAGTACACCAGCTTATCCCTAATCTGCTTAGCCATCTAATTTAAAATGAGCCCTGAAGACACCTAGATGAGTCTCAGCACAGGGTGTGAAGGTGATGCACGCAGGAGTGTTGCTGTTGCACATGCGGCTCTGTGACTGCGCAGGTCTGCTGCAATGACATCGTTAACCCACCCCACTGTTCCCCTCGCAGCCCTACGCCATCAACGGCATCATCATCCCCGACAGCAACGTCCAGCTGGACCGCAGCCTGCAAGAGCGGTATGACATCACACTCACGCCCACTCGCCCTGTCTGTGAGTCCAGGGGCTTTAGAGGAGATGCAGCAGATACCTTATGACTCTGCTGTACCATTTCTAACACAGAGGCTCTTGTGATCTATACAAAGAACAGTGGAAGTTTCACACTTCATTAATTCAATGGTTTTGCAACTTCTTTTCCATGCAATTGCATCTGTTGTCAGGTATTTCTGGGGATGTGACCCACAGTTTAGGATACATAGATATACAATGTCCTACAAAAGTACTGGGACAGTGAACTTCCCATGAAAAACACATGACTGATAAGTATAACTCCTCTGTATTTTATTTTCAAATAATAAAGTCAATTCATTTCTACCCTCTTGGGTCAATTAAACAAATTGATAGTGCCGAGCCTCTGTTTGGAGGAGCAAAAGTGTTGGGACAGTTGTCTCCTGTTGGTCAGATCCTGTGAACATCCGATCATCCTGTCCCATTTTGACTTCAGTGTTTGCAGTCTGAAGATGGAAAGTGAAAATGAAAACCAAAATTTTGTGTTAAAGAAAAAACTGAACCTGAAAGAAAAAATCTATCATAGCCACAGCACACCAGAAAGGAGCCAAAGGTATGATTACCAACAGGCAAGACTGGGTCAGCCAAGAAAAACCTCTTATTAATATTAAATCATTTATATTAATTTCCTAATCACAAATACAAATTGGCTGATTGTAAAGCAAAAGCATGTTTTGCCTGTGCTCCTCCGATATGGGTGAGGGAATCCCCCTGGTGCTTCAGGAGGCTTCTCAGGGCACAAGGCTGAAGGCTGCTGTGTCCTTCCCTGGATAGTAATGGGCTGCAGGGTCTACCTGTGCACTGAGGACCCCAGCCCTGTGTGGATTTGCAAAGCCCCTATGACCAGAAGCAGCTCCTCACCCATGATTCTCTGCAGGAATCCTGACTGGGGGCTGCCCGATATCGACGTCCTGCGCCAGCTGGCCTTCGAGAATGGACTGCGCCTGGAGAGGATGGTGAGTAAAATACGGGCACTTTCATTCATCCCCGACTGTCACCCAGGGCCCTGGCTGGTGGTGTTCAGTGTTCTCTCCCAGAGAAAAGGCTATACAACCCCTCAGACCTCCCTGCCCATACCTCCATTCCTAGAGGAAAGACAAAGCAGCACCCACAGACACATGTAGAAACGGGACCAAAATCTTAAGTTGAACTTCTCCCTCTCACTAATAGGGCTCTATAAAAAACAATCGAAACCAGCCAGCCATTCCCTTGGTAAGATGGGGATCAGGAATTCGTCCTTTAAGGACAAGGGACTTCTTGGTGGCTCTTTGCTGAGGTCCGCTTAAAGACCTAATTAAGACCTTAAAGAACTAATTAATGATGCCTGGCTTTAAAGAGCTGAACTGTGCTGTGCACGTGTAGGACAGGATTGGATGAGGTCCCATTGCCATCATTATTTTTTTCTCACTAAATGAGCTGTAGCCTCCTAGGTTTCAGATTACATAGTGTTTAGTTTGTAACAAGAGTAACGGACGAGCTACAGGAGCAAGAGAACAGGCAGGGAGGGCAGGGCTGCTGGGATTATGGTGATCTCTTTTGTGAAGCTTCAGTCTCCTTTCCTGGAGGGCAGGCAGGGAGGGGCTGGGGCCATATGGCAGTTGAAGGCTACAGGAAGAATTATTGGCTGTTTCTGCGGTTTTTGGGTGTGCAAATTGTGCCGTGTAGGAGCTTGTCCTGCTCACCAGTCACTGTAATGACTAAGGTAATGTGATTTACATGTGAATAAGGACAGGTTGTGCAGCAGAAATGCTGCAACGTGATCTGCATGCAGAGTTAACAAGTAAAAATGTGTCTATTTTTGTATATCATGTTCTGCAGAAGACATTTCACCACATAAATGTTCCAACGTGATCTGCAAACAAGTAGTGTTTGTTGGCAAAACCATCCTGAAGTTGAGAGTGATATTTCTATTGGATTAAGAGAGATGTATTCACAAGCTTGCTTGTTTACATATGTAATAGGGTCGTGTCATGTCCCTGGAAGTTTTGTTGCCTCATTTTGAATCACAGAATATAGTGCTGCGCATGCCTGGAAATTTAATCTATTTTGTGATGTAAATTGAAAGTTTACACATTACTGTGTACTGTACATTTTACATTTATTGTGGTTTGAAATGCACTCTTCAATGCCAATTCTTTCTAACCCCAAAATATAAGAATAGTTTTTGCTGTTCCCCTTTAAAAATAAAGTCAACAAAATGTGAATTCTGATGGAGCTTTTTTCATTCCAGATGGAGATGCCAGAAAGCAACAAATGTCTGGTTTTCAGAAAAATTTGATTTGAAAACTGACACCCAGAGTCCCCCTGGTGGGGTGTTGGATCAGCTATAGCTCTTGACTCTTTTTTACAGAAATTCTCATTAAATAGGACTCCTAATTACAAAGATTTTGAGTGCATCCCTGTTTTTCGTCTCATGAAAATAAGGTGTAGAGAATATTATGTTGTACCCTGAAAATTAAACCTCAAATTAATAAAATATGTATTTCCAGGTCAGCCTCCAGTGTGTATTTCCAGCTGTCAGAATCTGACAGCACAAATCTCAAACCGCTTCAACAACAAAGATAAAACAAGCAAAAAAAACAGAACAGGACAGTTTATTAAATATAATTTTAAAATTACTTTGTAAGGTCAGAAAAATCAGCAAGATGGAAAAGAATCACAAATGCCATGGAAGGGTTACAGAAGATCACCGGACATTCCGCCTAATACATACATGCTGAGTACAGATCCTGTTACAGACGAGGAACAGCTCATTCCATCGTGTTTCTGAAAATGTCCGACTGCACATGTGAGGCATTAGGGTCAGCTGTGCACCAGCCTCATGGCCCCTGCTTGGAGTCTCTGCTCTTATTCGCTTGGTCACGATGACCCTCAGTCTCCACATCCACCCTGGAGCTCACCAACGTCAAGGACAGGCTGGAACGAAGTTGCATCAGTGGTGACTCTGTGGTCACGTGTCCTGCTTGAGCTGCAGTTACTGCAGCAGAGGCAGACTGAGTGACTCACCAGGCTTGAGGAGGCCACACACCTCAGATCCTAGCGTTACATACTTTCCTGATGCAATTTCTTTAGCACCCAGCTCTCCCTTCCTCCTTCTCTCTCTCGGTGTTAACTTTTTATACAAAACCGATCTCTACTCACATTAGAAAAATCTTTCATGAACAGCTGCACTCTCTCTCCTGCAGTTTGCAAAGCCAATACAAGACATGCAATTCTCCACAGAACAATATTAGATCGAGTAAGGTTACCGTCTTGCTTTTATTAACTGTTGCTTATTGTATTTTTACACCTTGTAACAATTGCTAGTTAAATAATTTTGTAATTTATTTCATAAGGAAACTAAGTATTAATGACAGAAAATACACAAAACCTCGAAAGCACGTCAGCTACTGTCCAACAGAGATTAGGGGAGGTCGACAGGCAGAGGGCCCATGGTGGGTCAGTGAAGGAGCCTTGTGCAGCTGTCCAGAGCTTCATTTTAATGCTTTATTTTGGGGCTGGGAACGAGCGACCAGTGGAGACTGCAGTGTTCTTGTTTTATAGAAGCCTGGGGTAAATTAACTGGTGTTATGAGATGTAGTCAAAACCTGCACTTAAATACAAATGATCTGAAGATCCATGTAAATCCAGCAGGGATGTACATCTCCAGCAACACGGGTTTCTTTTAATCTTTTGAGAAGGCTGAAAATATTATAATAATAAGACGGGGGCGTGGGCACCCACTCCCTAATTTACTCAAAAAAGTGTACAAGTTAAAAGGTGCAAATCTGGCAAAAATAAATGTAGGCAAAGAAAAAATTAAAATGTCTTTTTATACTTTAATAGAAGTGTTGGAAAATTTGCTAATATTTACTAACAGTGTGGGGAAAACAAAAAAGACTTGCACCATGGTCTCTACAAGTGGATGAAGACATCTTTAAGCTCCCTACCTGCACTAAACTAGAAAACTAGATGGAAATTAATCACCCCAAACTCCTTCAGTTCCTGGAGATGTTGTAGGCGAGAAGAGAAGCCAGTTAATATGAAGGCAGTGTTTTTCAGGAAAACACTGTGGGCTACATGCTACTAATAATTAAGACAAACTCAAATTAAAGAGGCATGCAATCGTGTTTGTGAATCAGTTTAGCGCAAGCTCTCTTCCCCTTTCTGGTGGGCACGAAGTGGGATCAAGGGGAACGAGGAGTCGGCTCATGTGCTACACTTCCTCCCCTCCTCCTGCTTCCGAACTGGCATGCTTTCCTAAAGTAAAACAAATGCTTCCGGGAGCACTGGCGCAAGACAAGAAGCTGATACACTCAGACTGGCAGAGACCGTAGACAGTTAGCATAGTGTTGTTTGGCCGCCGACCCCCAACAGCACCGCGGGCTGGTCAGTCGAAGGAGATGAGCTGTGCCTCTGCGCTGCCCTGTGCCAGCTGGGGCGGCGGCTGCTGGGGCTGCTGCTGCACCTGCTGCTGCGGGCCACCAGGGGGAGCCATCTGCAAAGAAACACACAACAGCAGGTCAGGACCACTGGGCAATATCCGTAAGGCACTCTCATGTGCAGTGTGTCCTGCATTCCCTTTCCAAGAAATAAAACCTCTCAGTGTCCTTAACATGGAGAAGAAGTGGAAAAGAAGAGGTGTGTTTACCTGTTGGTACATGGGCTGCTGCCCAGGCATGTAGGGCTGCTGTGGAGGCAGGGCAGAAAGACTGGGGTCCTGGCCAGGAAGAGCTGACATCATGTTCTTGGAGAGAGGAGCAAAGGGAGGCATTACCAAGTATACTCAGAGTGGGGCAGGGGTCTTTAATAGACTTCGGTTTCAGCAGGTTAGTTCAGCTGGGTTTGACTGTAGACTACGTGTGGAGACGTCCAACCAACCTCAGTGCAACAGACTCACAGAGTCAGGGAGAGGAGGAATATATCTAGCACAGGGCAGTGTCCTCACCTGCATGTTGTAGGGTTGGTAGCCCATGGGTACAGGCTGAGAGCCCATGTACCCAATGCCAGTGCTTTGAGGACCCTGGGATATTGGAGGAATGCTCTGAGACTGGGAAACCACATTCTGCACAAAAGTAGAAAAACACAGACATTACGCTTGGCATTGACACACATACAGCAATCAACAAACTCCCCCTTAAGTGTCCAAACCCCTCTGAAAACCAGATGGAGGCTAGCTATTTAAGCTTACTGACAGGAGGTTCCTGGTTCAAAACCTTGGCCCTTGGCTTGTTATGCAACATTCCGATTTAACTTCCTTAAATACCCCCCAGACGTTTTGCAAATGTATACGTCAATGAAGTGTCTCTGTAGAAGGGCACATTCAAAGACAACTCAAAACTACCATCTACAAATATACAGTACATCAGATTTTCTTTTCCACTTAAAGCATTAATTGGGGCGGAGCGGTGGCTCTTTGGCTAAGGATCTGTGCCTGTGGCTGGAAGGTTGCCGGTTCAAATCCCACAGCCGGCAGAGGAATCCTACTCCGTTGGAGAACCCTGAACTCTAACCCCAGGCTTCTCTCTCCCTGTCTGTGTGTCTCATGGAGAGCAAGGTGGGGTCTGCGAAATTCCTAATGCCTTTATAGGGCTAATAAAGTGATCTTATCTTAATCATGACATTCGTGACATTCTCACTCCATCACACACACAGCAATCTGCACCTTCAAACTCTCTGGTCACTCACCTGGTAGCCCTGTGTGGGGGTGGGCTGGTAGGTGGAGTAGGCAGGGCTAGTGGTGGGCACCGCTTGGCCAGGGGCTGCAGTCTGCCCAGAGGTGCCCGCTGCTTGGGCTTGGTACAGGTAGGCATTCACCATGCTGGGGTCTGGAGCCAGGACAGCACAGGTGAGTATTCACTTACAGTGTGTCTAGGGGTCAGTAGCATGCCGATACTTGATACGACATCTGTCTTAGAGGACGTGACTCTGATGTGAATTTTTCTTCAATTGCCAGAGGAAAAACAACACCGTTGTCCACACCCAGGGGTGACATGGCCATGGAAAAACTGTAGTCCTTTTAAAACGTTTGCTATTACCTGGAAAGGTACCGTACTCGGCTAAGGGGATATAAAAGCCCTGGATAAAATTGGATAGCTCCATGATTTGTTGGCGTACCTTTAAACAGTGAGAGAGTTTCTGCAGATGCCCCCAATATAGCTGAGGCCCGTGTGAGAGCACCCCTGTTATACAACCATAAACCCGTCTGTTCTCCTACTGGACCCAGAGAGCAGCCGAGTCGAACTGCCACTTAATTTCACGCTCTGAAACAGCGGAGCACGTCTATGGTGAAGAAGCCACCAGCTGCCCCCTCCCGGATATAAAAACCGCTCAGAGCCCCTCACCTGTGGCAGAAACTGGCATGGCAGGATACGGCGCTGTGCCACTCTGGCCAGGCTGGTTCATGTAGACAGTGTGCATGGGGGAACCCTCCACTGAGCCCGAGGGGCTGAAGGTGCCAGGGTAACTGGGGGGCCCGGATGGCTGATACACCACCCCCCCTGCCACTGGGGGCAGAGACTGCAGCTTCGGAGAGAGAGAGAACAGCGATGACATGGAACAGACAGATGGGGGAGATCACTAACACCTCAATCAAGTAATAACAACGATCTCTCAACACCAAGACAAATGACGTTGTCTTAGTATTTTCTCATCTCCTTAACTTATTTAAGCTGCTACCTTGTCTTTATTTTTGTCTGCATGTGTGGTTATTGGTAATTCAGTTTTCAAAATAAAATGTTACAATGTTCCATAACACATCTGTTACTTTTAATAAGCATTTGTGTGCATTTAATAATACACTAGGCTAAACCATTTCAAAAGGAATTCAAACTCACCCACAAAAAGGATGAACGAGATACAGAGAATTAAACATGGGGCAGAGCAAAGCGCCGAGCAGGCGGGCCAGAAGAACCGCCAGGTGCCCTGCTGGAGCTCACCTGGGCGTAGGGCAGGGAGAAGGCTGGCATCTGCGCACGCATCTGGATGGTTTGTTTCTGATGCTCCAGGCGCATCTGTCTCTCCTTCTCCTGCTCCTGCAGGCGCTGGATGGCCAACTGCCTCTGCATCTCCAGGTACTCCTGCAACACACCCGTCATCCCCTTAAAAAGGTTGGAATACGGACACGGAGCTCCGCATCTGATCCGAGCTGGAATGAGAGCCGGGAGAAGCCCATGTCCCCGCACCATGAGGTGCTGCTGGCCGCTGGGACTATTACCTGCTTTTTCTGCCTCATGATCTCCAGCTTCTGTGCCAGCTGGATCTGCCGCTGGCGCTCAGCCTCCTCGGCAGCGCGGCGCAACTTCTCGCGGTGCTCGTCACGTAGCGCGTTCAGGGCCGCCCGGGCATCTCGGACCTGGGCCAGCTTGTCCTGCAGCCCCTCGTAGTACACTGTCGAAACAAAGGGACAGAGGGAAGCTGCAGAGCGGAGTACTGCACAGACAGGGACTCGCTAGAGGGGTCACAGGGCTGCTGCTGGCACAGACCAAGGTCGCCGCCACACCACACAAGCTGGACACACGACACACACCGATCAGCATAGGAAGACGACACTAGTGTAGTCATCATGCAGAGGCCCAGGAAAAATCTACTTTAACAACAGACACAAGACAAGTTCAGGGGCTTAGCATGAGGTTGTGGAGCCCAGGCGTTTGGGGTACCCACAGCGCTTCTCGTCCAGCTGGTTGAGCAGCTCCAGCAGCTGGGGGTGCATGTTGTTTATGGACTGGAAGAGCGACAGCACAGAGCTGTCGTTGGTGATGCTGCGGCCGCGCATATGGTTGCTCTTCATGCGGTTCAGGAAGGTGGTGACGGCATTCTGCAGGGCCTTGAGGAACTGCTCGTGGTTCTCCTCCGACTCCCCGTTCTGGTACTGCTGCTGAAGGAGAGAGCGTACTGGGTCACCGAGGGGCACACAAACACTCTCTACAGTCTCACACCAATTTACACCCACAACCTTGACACAAATGCTAATTCACACCAACATTCAACTCCAAACACCAATGCAGTCTTACCACAATCAGTCTATTCTCCAGGTCTCAAGAAGACCGGAGAAACGGATTTAAATGGCTCAACTGTTTATTTAAAAGGAGACCTAGAAAACCAGGCCTGGGGACCCCAGTCCTAAGACTCAAACACTGCTCTCCCATCACCAGCTCGATCTGTTCTGAAGTGACTGTATGACAACCAATCAGGATGGAATTACCTCTACAACACCGATTGGCTGAGGGGGTGGGTGCACCTCAACAGGCTGGCTGATTGGCAGGGGCTCAGTCAATGGCACGGGAGCAGAGGGGGTGGGGCTTTTTCGGACCTCTTCCTGTTTCTTCTCCCAGTAGTTCCTGTTCAGGTAGCGAGCCAGCTGAAGAGACATCACACACGGCACTGAATCCACCTGTTTCATTTCTCTTCTGCGTACTATTCAAGGTGATATATTCAGGAAAAATCTATTCCATTATATTCATTGTAAAATAAAGAGCAATAAAGAATTTAAGGCACAACATCTTTATATACATTTTAAAATAATTTCAAATATTTTTTTTATGTAAAGAGGAACCTAAAGCAACTCTGGTTTCAATATGCATGAGCACAGATACTAAGAGCAGCAGAAGCTAGAGATCAACACTTGGAGAGCAGCATCACATATTCCACAGAAAAGAAATCCAGGTTTCTTCAGCTGAGACCGGCTCAGCAGACAGGGCAAGACTACTGGACAAGCAAACAAGCAACCACACTGCATAGGGCACAGCTACTTAACAAGAAGGTCTTACCTCTGGGTCGATCTCCTCAGCTGTGGGTGCAGAGGAGTTCTGCAACACATGAAAGAGGTATCACCATACTGGACAACAAGATGTTCTGCAGTATCTCAAAACCCAAGACCATGACTGCACAAATTCCAGATTACAATCTAAAAACAAGCCCAGATTATTATTATACATCTGCCAGCAAGAAATACTGGTTCTTCTGAGCATCATGGGGCACAGGATTAACTGAAAAGATAAACTCAGTTGATAAAACAACACCTAAAGATTCAGTTCTCAAAACGTCACATCAGAGAACAACCTCTGCTTCACATCAGACACCAACGGCTGTGTGTCAGGAAAACTGTTGGTGCACCCTAAGGGAGGGTTTGTCTTACCACTGGAGAGGAATACAGCGTGCTGACAGGGGGCGCAGAAGAAGTCACTGGGGTCGGCTCTGCTTTGGGGTACACTGAATATGTGGTCTTCTGCCTCTGCAACAGAACCACAGAGCTGAATCAAGACAGTAGCCGAGCAGAGCACAACCGGAGTCCCAACACTTACGGAGCTGGGAAGGGAGATCTGAAAGATGCGACAGAGCTGTGTGAATGACTACGCAGCGATGGAGTGTGTAGTGGTGAAGCATCCACCCCATTGTTCTCATCACCTTGTACAAACATTTCTGAAGGGTCTAGAACTGCGAGGTCAACCGCCTGAAACAGTTGGGGATTTATTGGATACTAACTGACAACGGACACTTGGTTTCCTTGTGTTCTTATGTGTGGGTTGCTTAGAGTGCGTGTCGAAGAGAATGGCAGTGCAGTGACAGACTGCAGATTACCCACCATCCTCTCCTTCTCCTCAGCCTCCGACTGGGACAGGGCGATGGCCAGCTGCAGCTCTTCCTCCTCCTGAAGAGCAGCCTCATCTCGCTTTGGGGGCAGCTGGGGAGACAGGGCAGTGACAGGGGGCATCTGGACAAGTGTAGGGGAAGGTGCACAATGGTCTCCAGAAAGGCTACTGTCAAATTTAACGGTTAGTCATTTACTAGAAAACAAATTATCTACAAACATCTAATTGCAATGGGATCCCATGAGGAAAATGCATGCTAATTTACTGTTGCATTTAAACACATGAAGCAAAAGCAGTTTCAGGTTGGACAGCATGGGGATCATGTACCGACTGACGGAGATCAGTTTTGCACTGGCAAGTAAATGCTTTTATCGTTAACAAAGTGTCACATATGGAATGGGAATTAACTGCTACGGTAGTAGAATCATGTGGAGTCTAAATGTACAAATCTGTTAAAAATGCAGGGTACGTTAGTCTTAAAGTTATATCAAAACTAACAAGTGAAAGGGAAACTGATGAGCCTGGAAAGAACCTGGATTCTGATGTTTTTCCCTGTCTAGTAACTGCCGATGAGTCAAAAGGAGACATTCCTGGTTTCCTGCCCTGAGTGTGCTGAATGCCACCTTCCTTCACCGGAAACCCTAGTTCTAGCACCAGGAGGCCGTGCAACTGATTCCAGTAACACTAAGCACCTCAAGGCAACCTTTCTACAAAGACAAACCTGTCACAGCCGGAAACTCTGCTGCATAGACAGGCAATGCACCTTCAACTAAGGCTGTGAACCGAGTATTTTGAACATGTACAAGTGGTGTCTGGAGTGAGAGCCACCCGGGGGCTCTTCCTAACGATGGGGATAACTCTAGGCGGAGCTGTGTGCTTGTGCAGGAAGTGCAGAGCAGCGCAGTGTGTCGGGTCCAGCGAGTGCAGCGCGCCCAGGAGACCCCCCAGGCCAGGTGAGTGCATGGACACGAAGGTGTGGAAGGCAGGGAATTACTTACTGATCCTTCGACCACTACCTGAGACTGCTGAGACAGCGGGCTGGTCAGGTACTCGGGGGGCAGCTCAGAGGTACCCGACGCTTTGCCTTCCACTTTTCTACACAAAGGGCGAGGAAGAGAAATGGCACCAATTAGAGATCGAGAGGAGGAACAACAGGGGTAGGGAGGGGGCTGCCTAAGAAAGGGGAACCACTGGTGACAGCTGGAAGAGCTTTTCTAACAGCCTATGAATAGGATCTCATTTCTAGACCGGTACAACACCTTCAGGCCCTGATCTTAAGCGTTTTTAGCACCTGTAACACGTCAGGCTCTTCTACACTAATAATATTTAGCACAGAACTTCATCCCTCCTCAGCCTGAAGCAGGTGGTTTTCTTCCTTGGTGCACACCTGAATGAAACATTCATTTCATACATCCGCCATCTTCCTTTCTGCATCTACAAGACCCCCACCCGAGACACTCTAAAACAGCACAAAGCAAATGTTAGCTAGGAAGAGTTACGAGGAGGATGTGAAATACCAGCTCTTTCACAGGGGAAAGTGAAGGTCTTTCACACTGGCTGTGATTTTCCAGAGGTTTCATTCCCCCATCATATGTTAATGTTTGCTTGTACTAATGAACAAGTACCAAACCGGAGAGGCCCAGCTCTGGAGCCAGGGTTCGAGCGACTCACTTGTTAAGGAGCTCGAAGCAGGGCTCGCACACGCGCACTTCCTTCTCAATCCCGAACTTGGGGATGGTGGAGTACTTGGAGGAACACTTCCCACAGAAGATCTGGCCACAGGCTCGGCAGTGATGCTGTGCAGAGAGGATGAGGCACAGTCACACAAATGAATAGAGCTCCCCTCTATTGTGGACATTTTTACAACTCGCCGTCTCAGAAAGGCTGGGAGCATCGTTCAGGACACCCGTCATCCTGGTTCATCACTGCTCTCCCCCCTGCCCTCAGGTCAGCATTATAGGAGCATGAAGGCACGAACCTCCAGATTCAGAGAGAGTTTCTTCCCACAAGCTGTCAGATGACTGAACTGTACACCTACCACTGACTCATGTTTTTTTTTCTTCACACACTGCTTGTCTGACTTTTCTTTTTAAAGATGTATGTTACTTCTTGTTGTTGCTGCTGTTTTTATGCTTTTGACATTTGCTTTAATGTCTTTTTTATTGGAGCATACATGCAAATAAGCATTTTATTGCACTTGTGCATATAACAAATAAACTGAACTGAACTTCCACTAGGAATCAGTCAATCCAAACTCTGAATAACTCCAGATCTACTGTGTTTTAATTGACATCAGTTGCAATAATCTCTAAACAGCTCACAATTATATAATTATATAAAGAAATTTAGCCACCATAACTCGGGTTTAATCTTAATGAGTATGTTATTCTCCTAGACATGCTGCAGACCTGAGGCTCTCCAGGAACAGCTTGGTAGACACCTGTCCAGCATGCACTGATCTTCACACCAGTCTGGTCAGGATGCCCTACAGCCCCCCAAGCTCCTGTTAATGCCACATGTGCAGCATCCCAGCAGGCTCACCTTTCTGGTCACGACCCCAAACTGAACCCTGCAGCGATGACACTCCTCCGCATCCACCCAGTCAGGAGCCTGGACAGAGAGACATCACCCAGTCACACACGTCTTTTCACACTAATCTGTGAGCAGATCCTTAAGCCTGTCACTAGCACGGATTTGCCCATTTATACTGTATTTATAGTGGTGTCATACATAATGGCCTCCACATTTCTTTGGTGAACCCAATACCCAAGAACACTGTTTCAGTCACACAAAATAATTTCAATTAAATGTATTACAGAGTACTACAAGGTTATTTAATAATTGTCTTTATAAATAATAAGAATACTTCCATATTTCTACACCACCAGTTCACAAGCATTCCTTGCTCATGGCTTGCAGCACTGGGACACACACAGGCACCAACTGTTGATGTGCATTTTAGTGCAATCGTGAGGCCAGCAGAGGGATTCATAGTACAGACACATAGAACGGCCCCCATTTTTATTCCTTTATTCCTGCTGCCTTGTGAAGTTAGTTTTCATAGGCAGATAAACAGCATCATAATTCCTCTAAACATGCATTTGAAATACAGCATATTGACAATGTGGAACGCTGTGTTTGGAAGCTGACGCACAGGGAGATGTGTGTGGGCACAGCTTACCCTCTCAGCTGCAAACATCGCATCGCTTTCCTTAAACTCAGGAAACACATGGCCTGAGGAGAAAGCAGTTCAGAGCATTAGTGGAATTCAAGGCCAGAGACAGCTGCAGGTCTAAGCTCTAGCAGAAGAACTTACAGAGAGAGACAGCCTTGAGGCCTTACCTTCCACCTTCATGATCTGGTAGGTATCCTGTACAACCTTGTACTTGGGCTCATTGCGGAAGGCGTGGGCCCAGGCCTGAATCAGATACAGGATCTTGTTCCTCACGTTGGGTTCAGTCTGTTTCTGAGAAAACACAGCCTTCCCTCAACACGGCCCAGCAAAACAAACAGGCCAGACCACACACTACACATGGCTCTACAACCACCGTCACACTGCACAATGTGCAAAACCGCCTGGGCCACTCATTCCAAAATAATTAACTAATTCTTGAATACAACAACCAGCTCAAACCTCTCACTGAAAAGACCCAGCACAGTGGTGAGAATTATCTTTATCTTTCAAAGTATGACTTTCCAACACAGCCCATCTGCCCGAGACCCTTCTTTTTATCAGTCAAAGTAGACTGTACTACCAAATAGAAGAACGCAGCACACTTTCGAGCAGGGAGTGTTGTCAGCAAAGGAACAAGTAAAGGTTAATTTCATGCTGAAAAGCAGAAGAATCAGCAATTTTTGGCTGTGGAGCCTCCATCAGGTGTTCACACCTGAACCACTGCCTGTCTTACATGTCAGACAGTAACTTTTGCAGCCACAACACAGGAAGAGAAACAGGTTGTGAATTTCTGACAAATAATGAAATGAAATGTGGGTTAATTCATGTTTTTTCAAAGAGAAAATAAAAAGATGGGTATAACCTTGACATTTCAAATATAAAGTGGCAATTCTACACCAGGCAATGCATTTTATGCATTAATGTTACTGCTGTGCCTCTGTACACACGGTGTGCCCTCTGAATAAATTGCTTCAACAATCTCACTCAACCTCACTACAACACCCACACAAAGAATTTACTTACTAAACTAGTCTAGAGTACACCATAACCACCCCACTCCTCACTGTGAAAGACTGTCAAAAATATCTGGTCTTTTTTTAAACTAAACAAGGTTGAACCTTCAAGATCAACACTTATTTAAAAAACTATAGGGGGCTTTACCTTTTGCAAGAAGAGAAGTTTGGAAGAATCTGAAGTGCTGTTTGTCCAGAGTGTTCTGATATCTGAAAGTGAGTCAGGAACTTCCCTACAGGCCCTGATATACTGTCTGAGTGCCATGTGAGCACATGACATCACCAGGAAGTCACAGCAGTCTGTGTTGTGGCCTCAGAGACACATGACTGCTGCGGCTGACTCCTCCCCCAGAACAGCTGTGCTCTGCTAGAAGCCACTTTCCTCCATGCACTGCTTGTAAACAAACGGCTGGTCCAGCAGGAGGTCAGCACCAATAATACTGGCTCTGCCAGAACTCAAGACAGCAAGCAGCTCTTCTCCAAATTGACTTGAATTCAGCAAAGTTTGCTAAATTCAACAGGTCTATTTCACCTATAAAAACATCCCATTCTGTGGACCTTGAGCCTTTGAGAGACATGAGATTGAATGCAGTAAAGAGGACACAGAAACAGAGAGAACTGGGATGAAAAGCAGCTGGGGAGGAGCAACGAGAGATGAAATACACCGAGCCTCACCTTGAGCAGTTCCTTCAGCTCCTCCATCGTCTGCTTACTCGCCACCTCATCATGGATCGTCTGGCCACAGTTTTTCACCACAGACTCCAGCACCTGGACGGGCAACAACCATTAATACTGCTGAACACACTGTTGAACACCTGGACCCTGCTCAAAAGGACAGAACATCTGAACGCTGTCACTGCCTCGTGCCCTGTGTGCTCCTGTGTAACACTGTCAAGCAGCCATGAGGTACAAATGCCAGTGATCAGCCCATCTGAGCCCCACGAGTCCAGACTGCTGACCCCAGTGTGCCAATGAAACTATACACTGGAAATGATTCTGAATGTGATTCTTTGATCATGGCCCACTGACAAATTAATCTGAAGTGTAATAATAATCATAATGCCCTGCATAAACATATAGTATAATTTTTCATCTCGGGGAATACCAAAGTACTTTACAAATTGGAGTTGAACTTCATCCACCACTGATGGAGACATCAGGTAACCAACAGTAAAGAGCTGTACTTTTCTTTTGAGCCTCGTTTTTTAACAATACTGTAGCCTCACATCTGCTCCCTAAAATCCTAAACCATTATAATAATGCTTGAAAACATACGGCAATCTGAAACTTTATTCCAAATAAAGAGCACAATATTTAACAAGTTATCCCAGAAAAGGTAATGCCAGGTCAGTTCTAGGTCAGAAACTTTTTTAATCTGTCTCTAAAAGACATTTACTGAAGCTGCACAAGCTGGTGAAAGTACATTCCTTTACAGGTTGTATGAATTACAGATGTAAGGATCAGTAAGGTCAGGAGACTTGCAAGTTACAACCAGTTTTGCAAGTGCTGAGAGGGCACAAGCAGAGCAGTGTGAGTGTGGCACAGGACTCACCTCCAGGGCGTACAGAGCTACGTGAGGGTTCTTATCATTCAGCTTCTTCTTGACGGCTGCAATAGCATACTTCGCCCTAAACAGCGGAGACAAAACCCACTTGAAAAGCAGTCCCGTCGGGTCGAGTGCAATATCCTCCTTGCTCTTTAATGTCTATTTTTTCCATAACTGAGAATACTTCTCTTCTGAATGAATAACTAATTTGTGAAAACTGGCTTTATAAAGTTCTATCCCCTCCTGCCTTCTCCTGCTAGGACCTCCCTGAAAACGTAACCATTATGAGGGCTCCACCTCAGCTGAATCAGTCATCTTGAATTTAAACCTGAGATTGTAATGTTCTAACAGAACAAAGGAACAGTCTGTACAGAAGTTAAACAATGGTAGCAGGACTGAGCTAGATTGCCAAATGTCCTCTTTTTAAACCTTTATTTGTCTGTCCTTTGTGTCTTCTTGCCACAACGTAGCCTTTCCTCGATCATGTGGTTTTCTCAGATGTCAAAACTACTGTATATCCTGACTGTTTCCTCTGTTTTAGAAATGTATCTCCACCTAAATATGATCAATTGATCACTGAACATGAAGGCCCAAGTTCTGGGACTGCTTTATGAGTTCTGCGGTTACAGGCTGTGCTGCTGGGCCTTGGATGACATCATACTCACTGGGTGTCACCCTGACGAATGAGGTCACAGATCTGCAGGATAGACTCCCAGTCTGTTTCCAGCAGCAGTTGGCTGGTGGCTTTATCTGTGAAGAATAAACAGGAGGAATAGTCAACAGCACCCACTGCCATCCCAGGACAAGCTTGAGGGTGACCTGCTCTTAACTGGGGTCAGCTAGCAGACACTGTGGGGCTGCCTCAGAGGGAAAAAAACTCCACACAAGATGCGGCCGAACTGCTCACTGCTGTTAAAATAACACTGTTCCCCCCGCTCAGGAGCCAAGAGTGACACCACAACAAGTGAGGTTAGGAGAAAAACGCCACAGCGACACGCTCTCAGTCGCCTGGGGCCGTGGGACACACCGGCACAAAAACAACATGTTCAGAGCAGAGGAGCCCGCTGGGCCATTCAACAGCCTGTTCGCGTCGGACCCATGGCCGGTACTGAGCGGTACGCGGTTCCCTTCTGTCTGCCCACAGACACGGGCCTGCAGCAGGCAGAACGGGCCTGAGGGAGCTTCTACATCCCGGCAGATTAACATCACAACATTCAAACGTGTGCGAGAGGGCAGAGTCCCCCGTTAATCACGAAT